TAAAGGCAATACCTGGAGAAGAATTGAAGGAAGTTGAGGGGAAACCTCATCACTTACCAGAAGTCATAAAGGAACCCCATTACTTCCCAGACAGCTGAACTTTTTACCCTTAATGAGATATTAGTTCTAGGAGAGTAGAACTCAAGGGCCTTTGATACTCTAGTTCATTGGTTACTACAGGTCACAGTAAAATGATAGGGTGGGTGGAAAAGCTCTGGCAATTTAATCTTCAGTGTGGATCTCAGAATGAAGGGACCAGCAAGAGCCAGGATGCTGAATGTGGGCATAGGTGCAGCCAGGGGTTTTCTTTGCTGCCCCAGACTTTTTTTTTTGGGGGGGGGTGGAGTCTGTTTTCATCTTGATTTTTATTCCTGTATCTTTTCTCTTCCTGGGTGGCCCTTTAGACCTGAGATCTGAGATCACAAAACAGTCTTCCAAATCCTACTGGAGAAAGATCTAAGAATAAATGACAAGGAAATTAAGATTGCTGAGTTCCTATGCTGTGCCAGACACCTTGAAGATCTTTTTTTAATCTCTTTTCATCTCTCTCTCTCTCTTTTTTTTTTTTTTTTGGACTCTCTGCTTTCTATGGGTAGCAGTAAACTTATATAAATTCATGCATACTCACAAAAGCATACACACAGACACCCCGGTTCCTCCCTTTCCTGGCCCATCCTTAGGCAGCACTCAGGCACACTATGACAGGATATAAAAATACAAGCTACCGTCTTTGCCACTGTAGGGGCACAGCTCTCTTCTGCATTTTATTTCTTTGACCCAATTGGTAGCCCCTATTCACATGTAGCCTTTAAAATGTAAATTAATTAAAATTAAATAAAATTAAAAAGTCAGTTCCTTAGTGGTACTGGCCACATTTCAAGCTTTCCACAGCCACCTGTGGCCAGGAGCACTATAATGGATACATAACGCTTCTATCATTGAAGAAAGACAGAGCTGCCCTAGGCCTAGAGTATAAACTATCTTCTGTGGTCTAGAACTCTCTCCCTGAATGGGGCCCGAGACTTTTCACTTTGTATTCCTACTGCTAGGCACATAGTAGGTATTCAGTATAATATTTTGCATGAAAAAAGAGAGAGAGATGTTACTGCTTATATAGACAAGGTTCATAGAATTCTCGTTCTACCAAAAATTGATGGAAGAATAGTAAAATGTCATAGTAGATTTGTATTTTAATAATGTTTCATTAGAGCATAATAATTTTATTTATCTTCTTTATTAAAATTGGGGATATATTTGTATAATGAAATCTGCTCAAATGAATTAGATACAAATTTACTAAGCATCTACTATGAGCCCACCACTTGTTAAGCCCTACAAAAACCACTGCCCTGAATTCCAGTCCAAGATGGTGACATAGGAAGACCCTAAACTCACCTCTTCCATGGACACACCAAATCTACACCTGTTCATAGAGTGTTTCCTCCTGAAGAACAGAACAGCTTATGCACAACAAAAATAGAGATCTCTCTGAGAATGATAAGAGAAATGGAGACATAGTTAAAAGGCAACCCCCACTTCCTGACCTGGGAACTGCAGGGGGCAGAGATAAAATATTATCTGAGATGACCTTGAGCAGATTTGTCTGCCCTGAGGTACAGAAAGAAAGGCCCAGATTTAAAAGAGCAAGTAGAATAAGAAGGGACTAGCCCTTGGACCTTGTCAAACAGGGAGGGAGCTGTTGGGACATTCTCTGGGTTGGAGGGGACGAGTGAGTGCCTGGGTTTATGTTTCTCCTCCACCTTGAGAGTGGATGGGAAAAGGGTCTGTGCACCCTACCCACCTGCTGTCTCAGCGTTTCCTGGGTGCCTAGCCCAAACTAGCTCCAGCCATCCCCCCAAGGAGTTCACAGGGCAGTGTACACTGGACCATCCCTTGTCAGTGCCCACCACAGCTCCAGCTGACAATTTAATCTTCAGTGTGGATCTCAGAATAAAGGGACCAGCAGGAGCCAGGATGCTGGCCATGCAATGTCAGCTCCAGATGGCTTGCGAGGACACCCCTGGTACAGAGTGCTCTGGGACTCCCTGGCTATGCCTGCCTTAGTTCCAGCTCTCCTACCAAAATGCCCCCTGTGCAGAGCACCTTGGGAACACTTGGTTTGTACTTACCTCAGTTCTAGTCACTCCACAAGGCACCCCCTGCATGGAGCAACCTGGGACCTCCCAGCCCACACCCCACGTTGGTTCCAGCTACCCCACCAGAGAAACCCCTGTGCCAACCACCCTAGGGTACCCTGGTTTATACCCACTCCAGATTCAGCTGTCCTGCCAGGGCAACATCTGTGCAGAGAGCTCAGTAGCCTCCCACCTTGCATTCACTTCAACTTAAGGTGTCTCCCTCTCTATGGAGAGCCACAGGGCCATCCCAGCCTATGTCCATTTCAGCTGTGGCCATTTTACCAGGGCAGTTCTGGCACAGAATGTCTTGGAACCCTCAGCTCACACAGCTCCAGCCCACAAACCAAGGTCACCAGGCACAGTCTACACAGGTGGCAACCATTGTAAGACCATTCCTTCAAATGCAGGAGAAGTCATTGTTCCATCTAATTTATAGAAACAAACATAGAAAGTCAAGCAAAATGGAGAGAAAGGAATATGCTCCAAATGAAAGAATAAGAGAAAACCTCAGAAAAAGAACTACATGATAGGGAGATAAGCAATATATCTGATGAAGAGTTTAAAGTAATGATCATGAGGATGCTCATGGAACCAGGGGGAAAAGTGGAAGAACTCAGTGAGAGCTTCAACAAAGAGATAGAAAATGTAAAAAAAGAACCAATCAGAATTGAGTACAATAACTGAAATGAAAAATACACTAGAGGGAATCAATAGCAGATTAGCAGATGCAGAAGACAGATCAGACATTTGGAAGACAGGATAATAGAGAGTACCCAAGCAGAACAGAAAGAAGAAAATAAGATTTTTAAAAAATGAGATTAGATGAAGAGATCGCTTGCAAAATCAACAAAATATTAGCAAACGAGAGTTGACAATACATTATAAGGATCATTCACTACAATCAAGTAGGATTTATTCTGGGGATGCAAGAATGGTTCAGTACTCCCAAATCAGTCAACATGATATACCACAACAACAAAATGAAGGATAAAAATCATATCATCATCTCAGTGGATGCAGAAATAGCATTGGACAAAATTCAACATTCATTGCGATAAAAGCTCTCAACAAAGTGGGTTTAGAGGGAACATTCCTCAATATAATAAAGGCTTTATATGAAAAACCCACAGTAAACATCATACTTCATGGTAAATAACTGAGAGCTTTTCCTACAAGATGAGAAACAAGACAAGGATGTTCACTCTCACTGCTTTTATGCAACATAGTACTGGAAATTCTAGACACAACAATCAGAAAAGAAAAAGAAATAAATGTAATCCAAACTGGTAAGAATCCTTGCATCATCTGGGGGAGGATTATTTTCCATATGATGACATAGCAGGAGCATTCCAGGCAGAGGGACTGGAGGTTTCTGAGTCCTGAGGCAGGAGCCTGCTTGGCCTTGTGGAGGAACAGCAAAGAGGTCAATGTGGCTAGACAGAGCGAGGGAGTAGGAGAGTGGTGGGAGAGGAGCGAAGAGAGGTGAGAGAGGGTAGATCACATAGGGCCTCACTGGCTATTTAAGGACTTAGGCTTTTACACTGAGTGAAAAGGGAAGCCACGGAAGAGTCTTGAGGGAGGAGAGTAATGGTCTGATTTAGGATTTAAAGGATCATCTCTTAGGGAGCCAGGGTGGCTCAGTTGGTTAAGTGACCTACTCTTGATTTTGGCTCAGGTCATGATCTCAAGGTCGTGAAATTGAGTCCTGCACTAGGCTCTGCACTCAGCTTGGAATCTGCTTGAGATTCTCCTCTCTCCCTCTGCCTCTGCTACTCCTCTGGCTTGTGCTATCTATTTCTCTATGAATGAATGAGCGAATGAATGAATGAATGAATGAATAAAATCTTTAAAGGGTCATTTGTCTGCCATGCTGCAAATAAACTGAAGCTGGGGTGGGGAACAAGAGTAGAAAAAGGGAAACCAATTAGAAGACCAATAAAATAATCCAAAATAATTTGGGTGCTTGAGCCAAGATAGATGTGATGGAAGCAGCACATAATAGTCAGATTCTGGATATATTACAATAAGAGGCCAGTGGATTTGTTGAAGGACTGGACTTGGAAGTGTCCTGCCTCAAATAATTAGTGGGCAATATAAGGCATGATTTAATTTGTGATGTCAAACCGAGTCTGGAGGTTGGTGAGCAGATGGGCATTAGTGAAGGAGAGGGAATATATAGGCAAATAATGCAAGATAAGGTTGGAGGTTATGGAGGAGAATGGTGGTGTTGGTGACAGAAATGGGGATTTGGGAGAAGGAATAGGCTTAATAAGGATAGCTTTGGACACGTTGAATTTGAGATGATGGTGGTAACTCAAAGTAGGGACATACTGGAAGTTTAGAATATGGAATTAGAGGAGGTGGGACAGGATGGTAGAGATCAAGATTTGGGAATTCTTAACACTGCTGCTGGTCAAAGACAAAGAGTGAATGAGCTACTTTATATCAAGAGATAAAAACAGAAGATTAAGGACCAAACTAAGAAATGCCCACAGTGGGGAGGAAGGTGGAAGATGTAGAACCAATAAAATAAATAAAAGACCCAATGGAAGACAAGGGAGCCTGCATTTCAAGAAGGGGTTGATCAAGAGTACCAAATATTGGGGCGCCTGGGTGACTCAGTGGGTTAAACCTCTGCCTTCGGCTCAGGTCATGATTCCAGGGTGCTGGGATCAAGCCCCGCATCAGGCTCTCTGCTCAGCAGGGAGCCTGCTTTCTCTCCCTCTCTCCCTGCCTGCCTCTGTGCCTACTTGTGATCTCTCTCTCTCTCTGTTAAATAAATAAATAAAATCTTAAAAAAAAAGAGTACCAAATATTGAAGAAATACAAAAGAGAATGTAGCTAGACGAAAAGCTAGCCGACATGGCAGGAAACACTTTAGTGAGGTGAGTGAGTTAGAAACAGATTACTGGCATTGAGAAGGTAAGGGGTACTGGGAAATGGAACAAAGAGGCATAAGCTCATTGTTTATGATGATTTTCAAAGAAGGATATATGGAAAGCTCTTTTCAGAAGACTGGGTCAGGAGAAAGGAAATCCAGTTCATTCTGTGGTCACACACACACCTTATAAGAGGCCTATTTACTGTGTGAAGCAATACAAATACACACTTCAGTAATGTTACATTTCATAACTAATCTCAGAGACTTCTAATATTTTTCATTGTTTTGTAATTCGGATTTAACCTATAAAACTCAATGTAGGAAAATTCTGATTTCTAAAACAAATATAAATGTGATTATTCACTTTCCAAAATAAATATTTCCTTAATGGAAACTACATTTTATCTGCTCTGAAATAAGAAGCTCTTCATTTCCATTAAGATATAAACTGATTAAAAGACACTGCATTTGTGCTGGGTTCCAAAGTGCACATCTTGTAGAATGTAAAGGGAGACTTTTTTTTTCTCAATTTTAGTCAACATGGTTTTTATTTTAGTTTCCCTTCTTATTCTCAGTCCTTTTCTCACTGTTCTCTGGAATCTGCATCTGGAGGTTGGGGAGGAGAAAGCCCAGGGAGCAAAGACAAAATTCCCCTCAGTAGGGGCGCCTGGGTGGCTCAGTGGGTTAAAGCCTCTGCCTTCGGCTCAGGTCATGATCTCAGGGTCCTGGGATCGAGGCCCGCGTCGGGCTCTCTGCTCAGCAGGGAGCCTGCTTTCTCCTCTCTCTCTATGCCTGCCTCTCTGCCTACTTGTGATCTCTCCCTCTCTGTTTCAAATAAATAAATAAAATCTTTAAAAAAAAAAAATTCCCCTCAGTAGGTGGCAGTAATGTCGAAAGGAATGTTGAAAACATTTGTAATTTGGGTGCTTGGCTGGCTCAGTCTGTTAAGTATCTGTCTTCTGCCCAGGTCATGATCCCAGGGTCCTGGGATGGAAGCCCTGCATCAGGCTCCCTGCTCAGCAGGGAGTTTGCTTCTCCCTCTATCCCTCTGCACAGCTTGTGATCTCTCTCTCACATACTCTCTCTCTTTCACTCTCAAATAAATACAAATCTTTTAAAAAATTGTATTTTAATCAACCTTATCATAATCCTCTTGATTGTTTCACCTTAGTAGCTTTAATTTTCTCATACATGGGAAACTTGGTTTATGAGGATACAGACCTCCCTTCTCAATTGGATAACTGGAAGAAAAAGAGGCATCTTACTAGAAAAGACCCATACAGGATAGGGGGAAACCAAGAAGGCAGACTGAATTCCCACAACTGAAAATAATTCTCAATCCATAGTATCAGTTGAACACTCTAAGACCGTTGTATTGCTGCTTTTTCTTTTTTTTTTCTTTTTTATTTTGATATTATATATTCTGTATAAAGGAATCTCAATGATTCCTGCACTAGGTCTTTGGCTGCTCTGATCTATTCGCAGCTGAAGGGGACAATTGATTTTCCTGCAGTTAGTCCTCTGTTCTTTGTTCATTAGGTCAAAAGGGAGTGTGAACAATGTGGTTGTTTTTGACTATTGGTCAAATGCACAAAAGAGCTAGTGTGTGCTGAAAGAGGTGGAATTCCTTGCTTACATTGAGACCCTGGGATTCATGCTTGCTATTCTGTCTTTGGGGTGCTTGTGGTCTTGGCAGTCACAATTGTGTATATGATATACAGGCAGACTCCATTCATGAATGCCAATGACCGGGAGCTGAGCTTTCTCATTTCGTTTTCTCTTGTCATCATACTGCAGTCTTCCATGCTTTTCATTGGCAAGCCATACAACAGGTTCTGCATGACCTGCCAAGTCACTTTGGCAATGGATTTTTCTCTTTACCAGTCTTGCATTCTTGGAAAAACTATTTCGCTGTTTTTAGCTTACAGAATTTCTATTATTATTATTTTTTAAATTTACAGACAGAGATCACAAGTAGGCAGAGAGGCAGGCAGAGAGAGAGAGGTGGGGAAACAGGCTTCCCGCTGAGCAGAGAGCCCGATATGGGGCTCAATCTAGCTTACAGAATTTCTAAATCCAAAACCCGACTTATATCCATCCAGTCCCTTTATCGAAAAATTATTGTACTGATCTCTGTTCTAGTTGAGATTGGCATATGCACAGCCTACTTAGTATTGGAGCCCCCAAGATTGTACAAGAACATGGAATGTAATGAAGGTGCTATAGAGTTTTTGTGTTCTATGGTTGGAATCGATGTCTTCCTGGCCTTGCTATGCTTTCTAACAACTTTTGTTGCTTGCCAATTGCTGGATAATTACTATGAAGGAAAATGCATCACATTTGGAATGCTGGTCTTTTTCATTGTCTGGATCTCTTTTGTCCCTGCTTACTTGATCACCAAAGGCAAGTTCAAAGTAGCTGTGGAAATATTTGCAATCTTGGCATCCAGCTACAGTTTGTTGGGTTGTATATTTGCTCCCAAGTGTTTCATTATTTTGTTGAGGGCAGGAAGGAACACTGATGAAATTGTTGGTGGGGGTGTTCCAACCATAGATAAGGGCATCCAACTGACTTCAGCCTCTGTGAGCAGTAAGCCTAATAATTCCACAGCATCAAATGTTCTGGATGATTAGAGTTGTGAGTTACATGTGACCTTCAAAGCTGCAATGGTGATATGGTTCAACATTCCCTTTCAAATTGCTCCTATAGCTGCTGTCTAATGCTCTGGGGGTAATATGGAGGATTTGGGTTCTAGTAGTATGGTCCTAGCATGGGATATGAAATCTCATACTGTAAGATACCATTTAGCAGGAATTAGAATACCCGTTACCACCAAAACTATAAGTAACTTCATTCAAACATTTCATAAGACTTTGGTATGACAAATGTATAGTAGAGGGCCCAAGTAACCTAAAATGATGGATAAAAAACCTGGCTCTTGAATATGGTTCTTTTTATATCATGGGTGTCTGGTCTAGAAATTTACATCAAACAAAGACATTTTGTGGGGACCAAAACACATCTTGTTAATGCCTCTATGGAATTGATAGCTTTTCTCCGACTGAGGTAAGAATTATAGCTCATAAACTTTCCCTTGGAGCAGGACGTTTGGTAAGAGAATTTGTGTTTCAAAGGACTCTGCAGCATACAGATAATATTGAGGGACTGGGATGTGAACAAAGCTCACAGTTCCTTGAATTCGTAATGGGGATAGGTAAGTTTCTTCCAGAGGGAAGGCAAGGACCACCTCCTCCAGAATTTCCTAGATAACAGTAGTACAATATTTGAGTTTCAAAACATTCTTCTACTTAAAAAATAAAAAGGAGGGGAATTAAGATATCAGCAAAGCAGTTCTTATGTTGATTATATATTGAATACTCAAAAACAAAATAAGCAAATGTTTAATTAGAGCAGGTATTAGGATGCAAGATTTTTTTGGATAAATTAAGTTATAGATATTTACTCCGTGATTATCCAGAGTTAACTGGAATGTTATAAGAATTTTTTCAATCTTCTTCCAGATACAAAATTTTAAAAATGATCTACATATATTTATGTGCATATGAATTAAATGTGTGAAAAAACAGAATTTGTAGAAATGCTGATAAACCAGACACCCATGTGCATACTTCACTTTAGGAAACCAGCAAGATCAGAAAGAGCTCTTTTTTTTTTAAGAGAAATATTAATCCTTGTGAATAACAATTAACCAAACTGGGCAGAGAGAATCATACAGGTTGTAAGAGCAGGAAGTGAAACCATGATGACTAGTTTAACAAGACAGTTCTGTTAGAAATTTATTTATTGATTTTTTTTTTAAGCTTTCCCTAATCCCTGCCAGGTTTAAGTGTGATCCTTAATCTCCACAGAACTGCTTCCTCTATTCTGCTGCTTTGTTTTGTTTTAAGATTTTATTTATTTATTTGACAGACAGAGATCACAAGTAGGCAGAGAGGCAGGCAGAGAGAGAGGAGGAAGCAGGCTCCCTGCTGAGCAGAGAGCCCGATGCGGGACTCGATCCCAGGACCCTGAGATCATGACCTGAGCTGAAGGCAGCGGCTTAACCCACTGAGCCACCCAGGCAAAATTCTATTATTTGGGAGGGCGAGAACACAGAGGGAGAAGTAGACTCCACCCTAAGCAAAGAGCCTGATGCAGGGCTCCATCCCAGTCAAAGGCAGTCACTTAACTGACAGAGCCACCCAGGCATCCCTGTTGACTGCCTTTTAAAAACAAATATATTTGTTTTTATAACAAATATAAATCTCTTACAAATGTTTTGCTGCCCCTACCTTTTTCACAGGCAGCCCTACTGGGCTGAGTAGCCCAGCAGTAGATTCAAAACAATTTCTCTTTTTTTGCTGACTTCTTTCCTAGGGATTTATTAACCAAGAATTTCCAATTCTTGGTATGACACAGTGACTGAGATTACAGTGTGAAGATGATAAATTATCACATAAAAAATGATAGATTTTGAAGGGAAAAGCATGAAAAGTCAGAATAATATTAGAAATCTGGTCTCGATGACAAATGCTGAAATAAGAGGCAGCTTTGCCAGTTAATCATAGTTGTGTGAAAAGCCCTGAGGAGGTTTAAAGTCCTTTCTTTCTAGAACGCATTCTGCTTCAATCTGAGTTGATTTCTTGTTTAGTTATGTTTAGTTATGCATCCAGCTTGAGTCTTCTCAATGATCCATCTTGGAATTTAAAACAAATGCTGAAAGATCACTGAAGTCTAGTGATTCGTCTTACCTTTTTTTAAATATTTTATTTATTTGACAGATAGAGATCACAAGTAGGCAGAGAGGTAGGAAGAGAGAGAGTGGGGAAGCAGGCTCCCTGCTGAGTAGAGAGCCCAGTGCGGGGCTTGATCTCAGGGCCCTGAGATCATGACCTGAGCCGAAGGCAGAGGCTTAACCCACTGAGCCACCCAGGCACCCCTTGTCTTACTGTTATATTCAAAATATTTCAATCTCAGAGTAATCTATTTCTTTTCTGAAATGTTGATAACCGAATGAATATAAGATATCTAAAAAGGCACCTCCAGAAGTCCATCTGGGTAATATCAAAGCCTTCATTATCTCCTTTCATACTACATGGCTCAGTAATACTGTCTTATTGGACTTGTGTTCTTTGTAATTTTTATTTTTCTGATCAGCAACAGGTTTGGGAAAATAGAGAAAACAAACTTCTCTAGTTTATTAAAAACAAAATATGAACTGAATTTGCATGCTGAACTTAAATGCTTACTTGTAAAACTTTCTAATTTTAAGGTACAACTTTGATCTAAAATAGTCTGAAGTTATCACTTGTTGATTTGGTACACATGCATTGTTACAAAGATTGGCTTATGGGAGATAAACTGTATAATATGTGATTGTCAAAGGATGGTGGTCTAATTTTTAATATTGATCTATTCATTTACTTGTCAGGTATGAAAATGGTTCTGATAATGTTGAAAGATAATTTTTCTCCTTGGGCAAATGTCTTATATATTTATGTATCTATTTACTTAATTAAATTTCCGTTTAGTTAACATACAGTGTAATATTAATTTCAGGTGTACAATTTAGTGATTCAACACTTCCATACATCACCCAGTGCTCATCACCACAATGTGTTCCTTAATCCCCATCACCTATTTCACGCTTCCTCCCAACTTCCCTCTGGTAACCATCAGTTTGTTCTCTATAGTTAAGAGTCTATTTCTTGGTTTTCTTCTCTCTTATTCCCCCCCTGTGCTCATGCGTTTTGTTTCTTAAATTCCACATATGAGTGAAATCATATGGTATTTGTCTTTCTCTGACTGGCTTATTTTGCTTTAGCATTATACTCTCTAGCTTTATACATGTTGTTGCAAATGGCAAGATATCATTTGAATGTGCCATTAAAAATTATTTCTAGTAAAAAATATGACTGGAATTTCTATCAGCAAATGTTGTCTTATAAGAGAATCTCATATAGAAATCTCCGGGGACACTCCTTGCTGTGGGTGCACATTTGCTGGTAACCACATGCTGGGCCTTGGGGAGCAGCTCAGAATTAATTTCAGGGTGTTGCATCAAAATAATGCAGTTGCTGGCTTGAGAAGTAGCATAAAGACTCATTGTTTGAAAGAAAAAAAACTGCAAAACAGCACTTTACTCAAGGCTGACCTAGACACGTGCTGATTTGAGCTCTTTGGAAAAAAGAAATGTTTATCGAGGCTGCTCAAACCCACAACATAAGATTGATTTGTTTGAGTTAAGACAAAGAAAATTCTTGATAGAATGTGAATATATAATTCTTGATAGAAAGTGAACATATTGTCAAAAAGGAAAGGATACTCCAACAGCCAGATTAATTGCCTTAAAACATGAATCTGATATCATCTCTTCTACATTCATCAGTTCCCTGTGGTTCCTCAATTTTCTGCAGCTTGAGTCCTGCTGTCCTAGCTGTCCAGACATTCAAGGCCCTGTGTCCCAGACATTCAAGGCCCTGTGAACAGTTTTTCATCAACTGTTTTTCATCTTCATGTATTTGCTACAAATGTGTTCAATATTTGTTACCTGCCACCTTCCTACCCACATCCTTATAACAATCCAATTGGATGCTTGCAATTCCTAGAATTTACCTTCTATTTTCCTGATTTCATGTTGTTCATACTATTCCCTCTTTCCTCTAATGTTCTGATAGTACTTCATTCGTCCATCCATCCATCCATCCATCTATCCATCTGTCTATCCATCCATCTGTCGATTACTGAAGGGATGGTGTACATCAGATTTAGAGTTAGGCGTAGAAGATGTATAAAGACAAGATGTACAAAGACAAGAAGATATACAAATCGCCCCCAATTCCAGGTGCTTGCCATCATTTGGGATGAAAGGCAATAAACTGACAATTATCCTACAATGTGATTAAGCTGTGATTGTGGGAGCACTGATGGCTAACCACTCATGTAACAAGGCCCAGGAGAGATGTTTCCATGTAGTAGGGATAGGGGAAGTGGAAAGAGGGTATTGGGGAAACCTGACGGGCTTCTAAATAGTAGGGGTCACTTTGAGTGCAATAGGTACTTCACTGGGGAAGAGAGGAGAAAGCAGCACTGAAAGGAAGGAGGTGAGTTGAAATGTGAGGGGGGCAGTCTTGAAAAGAACTTCCCTATGGTATTCACTTGACTATTTTTCCATGGTATTTTCTCCTTATAGTCTCATTTTTCAAGAAATGCTATGTTTTCCCCCCCTCCAATTTCTTCCCCTTTGAGCTGTCATGGTAAAGTAGCTGTTGGGAACATCTAAAGGCAGAGTAATTATTTATAATCTCAAGATAGAATTATTAACAATTTATGTGAAAAATCTTTGTGAAATTTACTCATTTACATTTTGAGAGTATAGTTACACTTCTCCCCTGATAGTTTTGGAAAAACAATTCAGATACAAAAGATATAATGTGAAAATGCAAATACACCAGATGCATTAGGTGGGGTAGATTAACTGTAGAGTCAACAACCCCTAAATCTCCGAGGTTTCACAGGTTAACACTTAACACATCTTGAGACTAATGCATGTGTTACTGGTCAGGCTGCTGTCCTGCAAGGCCCCCTTCCAGGTGGTGACTCAGGGATGCTGCTGGGTCATCTGTATTTGTCC